GTCGGTCGTCCACCTAGGTGGTTGGCCCGAGGCTGTAACTAAGCCATTCCGGGTGACCCTGGGGGACAAGGGCAGATTGGGAAGCCCCAGCTCTGGAGGCACGCAGGTAAGAACTGTGCCTCACAGTCCTGGGGCCGAATGACTGTGGCCTCCCGCTCGCCTTGGTCTCCAGCCACCCAGTCTTGGGGGAAATTGTTGGGGTAAGTTGTACTGGGGAGAGCGCTGGCGGCTCGGCATCTCATCAAAACCTGGGTCGTACATCCCGCCAGCGCGGGCACGTGCAACCACGAGCACTAGCGGCCGCGTGTGCAAACGCTCTACCAGGCCAGAAGTAGGCGCTTGTGGGCCCTGGTGTGACTTGGAGCTAGAGCTGGAATGGGGGCCAGGCCCACAGCAAGGGAAGGACTCGGGGTAGAGGACGCATGGCTCTTGTACCCTTGTGCCCACGAATTTTATGAGCAGCAGGGACACTGCCCAGACACGGTGGAGAGGTAAGGACTCCTTTCCTGCCTGGTGGCTCCCTGAGGCCTTCCCATTCTTAACTCAAGTTCTTTGGGTCTTTGACTCCTTCCTCTCTTGGTACCTTCCCTCTCTAAACGGATCCACTGCTGAAACCTAAAGAGCTGTCAGGCCACCTAGTGTGAAGCCTTTCACTGGAACTTCTTGGGGAGGGTGCTCCCCACTCAGGGCTCAGCACTGTGGAGTATGGCAGACTGCAGCAAGCAGGGCCCCTGGAAATGGGGGACAGCACCCCAGATTTACAGTGGCATTTCACAGAAGAGGATCGGGATTTAGGGTGCCTTCCTGGTAGCCTGGCTGGGCACCCCTGAGCAGACTTTTGGGAAGCTTGAGGGACAGCTTCCTGTGTGCAGCCTGTAGTTTAGTGAGGGCCTAGGAATTTCAGTCACCTGACATGCTGCTGGCTCCTTCTTCAATGAGACCCTTCCTGAGCCCCAGAGCTACCAGGCTCCTGTCTCAAGGCAAAGGTAGACCCTGAAATGTCTAGGCCTGGGGCACTGATGGCTGCAGGGTAAACAGACAAACGGAGACAAGAGTTACAGTCATAGGAGAGGTAATGAGATGAGTGGACAAGACAGGAAACTCACCTCAGTAAGAGGACAGCCATGAACAGCCGGC